CTTTTCCAGAGAGCTGTCAGACAGGTCCGGTAGTGACAGTTCTCTGGAGATTAGCCTTTATGAGGCACTCCAAACCCAGCTATCCCCTTCCCGTGACAGCTAGGTAGTGGTTTCCATGGCTACCACTGACCTACCGGGAGAGAGGTGGGTGGGAATAGGGTGAGTTAAAATGCCACAAAGCTCTCTGATTTTACTGAGATGTGGATATTTTTGTTAAAGAAATAATCTTCAGAATATTGCCACCATGGGTTAATTTCCAGAGTTAGAAAAAGTTGACTTTGACAGTTTTTGCTAGTGTTCTCATTGCTTTTGTGAAGGAGCAGATTTTCAGGGGTTATTCGACAATTCCAGAAGTCCCTCGACCTTGTTTTAAACAACAACAAGGTTTTCATTTATTTTATTCAAGGCCCAATGTAGGTGGATTTACTAGCTTCTTTCCTGTTGTCACAAACTGAACACACCCATGCAACTCACACCCAGAATGCTCTTCCTGCCCCTTTCTAGCTGCTAACTATCCCTCTCCCAAGATAACATATTTTTGAAAATAATATAATTTGAATGATTTAGCACATACTGTATGGTGTATGGCTTCTTTCACTCAACATTGTGTTTCTGAGATTAATTTGTGTTGTTGAATGCAATTGTTCATTCTCATTGCTGTAACATTCCATTTGTATGAATATACCACAAGTTATCCATTCTGCATAGGTGGACATTTGGATTGCTTACAGTTGGGGCTGTCACATTTTATTCTTGTATGTATACTTTTGAGAACATTTCTGTTAGATATATACCTAGAAATGGACTGCCTTGCTCAAATGTTATATAAATATTGAGTGTTAGTGGATACAGTTTTTAAAGTTGACGTACTACCAGTTTACATCCCACAGCAGTATATAAGAGTTCTACTTACCTAATATCCTTGCCATACTTGGTATTATTCAGCCTTTTCACTCTAATCATTCTGATGTGTCTGCAGTGCTATCAGAGGGATACCACTTTATTTTGCATATAATGCATTTGGCCAATTTTCATAGGGTATTCTGCTTTTCTTTTATGAATTTGTAGGAGTTGTTTTTTTTATGTATTCTGTATACCAATATATTCTATATAGGCTTGCATATATCACCTCCTACTCTGTAACTTGCCTTTTTCCCTCTTTAAATGGTGGTGTTGGAGAAAGAAAAGTTGTCAATTTTAATTTATCCAGATTTCTGCTTTGTGATTAGTACTTTTTGGATCCTGTTTTTAAAAAATCTCTATTGGCCAGAGAAAATTAAAGATGCAAGTGAATTAATTTTTTTGCAAAAAAATTTAAAGACCTATCCTTTAGGCAGAACACTTTAGTCTATCTTGAAGAATACCAATGTTTCCCAAAGAATGTATTTTACAAATGATTGTAATTTTTAATTCACAAAAACATCCCCAAAACATCAAGCCTTATATAACTCTATTCCAAAAGTTCTTTTGTTCTTTCCTATCAAACTCCCCAATTCCATTGAGTATGTTCCTTATCCCATTTGTTTCTAATCACCCTGTCTTCTATTTTCAGAGATAATAGAGCCCATTAGATGTGAACTCCTCTAACTTTCTGCTCTCTGATTCTATCCCACACGATATAACCTCATCTTATATTTATTTCCCCTCCTGTTTCTGTGGAAGATGTTCTGAAAAGTAGGTCTGTCTTTAGTTATAAAAAATAAAACAAAATTTTATTCTCTAAACCCTACTGGTTATTGCCATCTCTTTCCTTCCTTTAAAAAATGTTTCAGCCTGGCCAGGGTGGCTCAGTTGGTTGAGCGTTGTCCTATGCACCGAGAGGTCGCCAATTCAATTCTCAGTCATGGCACATGCCTGGGTTGAGGGCTTGACCCCCAGTAGGGGGTGTGCAGGAAGCAGCCGATCAATGATTCTCTCTCGTCAATGTTTCTGTCTCTTCCTCTCCTTTTCTCTCTCTATAAAATCAATAAAAACATTTTTTAAAAAAAAGAAAGACATGTGGTAAATAGTGTAGAACTAATATACCCACACAATGAGTGTGGGTAAAACTGGTGAAATCTAAATAGGGTGGATGGATTGTGTCGAATTCATTTTCCTGGTTGTGATAGTGTACTGTAGTTACACAAGATGTTGCCATTGGGGAAACTGGGTGAAGGGTATACTGGATCTCTCTGTATTACTTCTTACAACTCTATGTGAGTCATCTCAAAATGAAAAGTTAAAACAAAAGTCTTCCTATAAAGTATCCATAATAAGAACTACCATTTATTGAATGCTTACTGTGTGCTAGATACTGTTCTAAGCCCTGTCAGGTGGATATTATATTAACCTCTTTTTTCTAAATGACAAAATTGAGGCACAGAGCGGTTAAGTCATTTACACAGGGTCACCAGCTATTAAGTGGCAGAACTTGCTTTATGATCCTGGCAGCCTCACTCCAAAAAGAGAACTCTTACCCACTCTGCCACACTCCTTGACCATCTGCCTTCAGATCCTGCCACCTACTCACACTTCAACCGACTGACCTCTCTGTACTTTAGCTTCCATCCAGTCACTCCCTGGCAACTGCTTTTGCCTGGGTTACCAAGTCTGTTGTTAACGCCGATGGATTCTTTTTGGTCCTCACCATTCTTTCTGCAGCCTTTGATAGTGCTCATACATTCAGGAACTGATTGAGCACCTGCATTGTGTCAGACTCTTGTTCTACAGCAGCAAACATACTAGGCAGAACTGCTGTAACTGACGAATGCACGTGTCTTTACTGTTATGGTTAGAGAGTCAGAACTACAGTCAGTACCAGCTTGTTTGTGGATGGCCACCTTATTGGCCCAGGCTTTTGTTTTTCTGTGGCTAAAACAGATCATGCTATTATTTTGTGGTTTCACAATGTAACTCAAAACAGACTATATTTAAATACCATTTTCACTTTTCTCCAGATACAAATCTAAACCTTTCCAAGCAGTTGTCTTGGATATGAGTAAATTAAAAGAACCAAGTCCTGAAGAGTACGGCCCTTCTTATCTAATTAGTAATAATAAATTGTGAAAATTAATTCTTTGACTTTTTACCTACATTTTTATGTCTAGGACTAATTTGGATTACTTTTCTGCCTCCTTATTTGGAAACATCAGGAAGATCTCTGCAGAATATAAAAGTCTCATTCCATAGGTCCACATAAAAAGCTACGCCCAGGGAAATACTTGACTTCATGGAGACCTGGTGCTAGCTTTTTGCGGATCGCCCAGGCTGAGCACATGAGCCCGGATGGAAGGAGAGGGGTCATCTTGTTGTTATTTTCTGGGTTGACATTTCTTTCCCCGGTTCAGTAAAGAAAACACAGAAATCCTCTCTAACTTCTTCATGCCAAAACCCAGCTCTCGTTGTATTACTTCTAATCGGAATGTGTTTTGCTTGATGATTAAAAGCAACCAGAATCCTCTTGCTTCCATCCAGCCTCACTGTTTCTGCCTGATGGCTGTTTGTTTACGGCCGCGGCAGCAGCTAGCAATTTGCAGGGACAGTGCTGTCAGAGTCACTGCCTCAGTGAAGCCTGAACAGCTCTCTCTCGGAAGAAAGATGACAGGTTCAGCCCAGCAACTTGCAAAACTTGAAAAGCGAGTCCTTGTCAAATACGTGAAAAACAACTCTTCCCGCTCCATGACTTGAGGGGAAAAATGAGAAACTAGCTTACGCCAGATGGCGATTCCTTGCTAGTAAAATAGGCCTGTGCTGATTCAGCCCCATTCCTTCATGTTCCTTTTGCAAAACCCACAAAGAACACATTTGGGGCCACTTTTCAGAGTTGGCAACGGCCTCTGCTTTTGAAGGAAATCATATGGACACAAATAAAGCCACAATGGATGAAGGGCTCGGAATCCCTGGGGTCCAGAAACAAGATGCATGGAGCCTTGCATTCCAGGTCATCAGTTAGATCCTGGCCTGGGCCCAAGAATCATCCCAATTGTAACCAGGTTTGGTTATTTGATTAAATTTGGTTGCAACAAAAACAAATTGGGAAAATGTTATATTTCCTCATTGACTAGACCTCTTCTTTAAAAAAAAATCCTTACCCAAGGACATGCTTTCAGTGATTTTGAGAGAGAGGGGGAGAGAGAAAACCATTGATGTGAGAAACATTGATTGGCTTCCCCCTGTACACACCCCAACCAGAGATCAAACACTCCTACCAACTGAGCCACCTGACCAGGGCTAGACCTCTTCTTTCACAACAAGAAAAAAGATAAAAATTAAGAAAGAGGAGGGACAATAGAAATTATAGTTTGGGATGATAAAGTGATTCCTAAATTTCAAATTATTCTAGGTCTAAAGGATCAATCTTTAAGTTCAGTACCTTTCTCTGCCATTTACATGTAAGGTATCATAGCTGCTTTCATATTTTTTTTTAATGTTTTTATTAATTTTAGAGATAAGAAGGGAGAGGGAAATAGAAACATCAATGCAGGAAACATCAATCAGGTGCCTTTTGCATGCCCCCTACTGGGGATTGAGCCCACAACCTGTGCATGTGCCCTAATAGGGAATGGAACTGGTGACTTTTTGGTGCATGGAATGACACTCAACCCATGGAGCCACAGCCAGGGTGCTTTCATATATTTATAATTTATTTCGACTGGATTTGAACCTGTGTGTGTGTGTGTGTGTGTGTGTGTGTGTGTGTGTGTGTGTTTATTAATAACCTTGGCTTTTTAAAGATGGAACAGATGTCTCAGGACTTAATGAAATCCTCTCAAAACAGTCTAGCTAGGGATGTTGTAAAGAGGATTTAAACACTATACTGGCAACCATATTGTTTGGTTTTGAAGATTTCTCCTTCACCTTAAAATTCTGTGGAAGTCCCCTTCCCCTGTCCTTTTTTTAAAATTACCTCGATTTGGTGAATTTTCAGCCATTTACGGTGATACCTCTCATCTGTTTAGTTTTGTCATGTGTGTAAGGAAATATTGACCACCTTTGTTAATGTTTTTTTTTTATTTCTTTAGGTGGCTGAACACACACAATTAAGTTGGATCCTTACCTGTATGGTCAGACTACCCCGATTACAACATTTACACCAGTGGAAGGTAAATGCCAGTAATCTGATTAAAAAACAGAAAGGAGTTCAGGGTCCGCATTACAGCTAACCCCGCCTCCCTCCTTTTTCTCCCCCCACCCCCCTTTGCTTATTTCTGTGGTTGGCTCTGGGAATCCCAAGTTTACTGACTACCTGGTCTGCTACTCACAGAGTGAGTGACTAGAAAAGCTATGTTTAAACTCTGTCTCAGGGTATTGAGCGGAAATGAAAAGGGTTCTCTAAGATTCCTTCCAACTTAAAAACTGGATCAGAATGTCCAACGTACTTGATTTGATCTGTGTATGGCTGAATCACAGGGCCCTTTGGATAGACTTGGTAATGACCTTGAAGCTACCACATTGTACTTAAACAATCACAATTTCTGGATTACCCAACTTGAAGTTATCCCATTGGCACTGGAATCACCTGGCAGTGAGGCAAGAATGTTTCCATTGTGGGGGAAGAGACAGCCTATTTTATTTAACACTTAAACAAGTCAAGTCCAGGCAGCAGTTCAAACCCACAGATAAACTAAAGCTGTACTTTTTCTTAGAAGTTCAACCAAGAAAGGTAAATTGGATAATTCATAGTACTTTACTTCCATTTATCTTTGCAGTTGGATAACCCAAGGGCAGATAGCCCCTGACTCTGTCAAGGCCAATTCCAGTTTCAAGCTGTTCTACAGCAAGATGGCTCAGCAGCCTCCGCATCCAGAGCTCAAAAGTGACGGTGCTTAGATAAGATAGTGATAAAGCTGCAGTATCGTTACCTGACCAGAGTTACTAACAAAACTGTGTCATGCTTTGTTTTTAGGCCAGGCTTTTCCCGGCCGATGATAAGATCTCTAGCACTCCATGGAATGCTGAAATCCTCTTTCTAAGAACTGAATATTGATTTCATGGGAAATGTCCCGACTTTAAAATAGTGTCTGAGAGCCTCCTGATAACACATCGCTAGTGAATGCCCTGTTGATATCCTGGAGAAGCCTTCCCACGAGCCTGGAATTCCTGATTTGTGGGGAAAACATGGATTTCAAGTGCCAGCTTCACCTAGCCCAGTGGTCGGCAAACTCATTAGTCCACAGAGCCAAATATCAACAGGACAACGATTGAAATTTCTTTGGAGAGCCACATTTTTTAAACTTCTTCTAACGCCACTTCTTCAAAATAGATTCGCCCAGGATGTGGTATTTTTTGGAAGAGCCACACTCAAGGGGCCAAAGAGCTGCATATGGCTCGCGAGCCGCAGTTTGCCAACCACGGGCCTAGAGCATGTTCCTGCCTTCCATGGTCACCCCTTCATGAACAAATATTGGTGATGCAAGCCACCTGCCACCCTGGGTGCTAGAGCCACAGCAGTCGGCAGGCAGGTGGACATAGCCCCTTTCATAAAGGCTTGTAGTTTGTTCGAGAAAAGGCAGTTAAACAAGTACTCAGAGAGTGTGAAAGAGCCCACCAGTGTGGCTCTAACCCTATGAACCAGGAGGTCACGGTTCAATTCCTGGTCAGGGCACTTGTCCTGATTGCAGACTCAGTCTCCAGTAGGGGGCGTGCAGGAAGCAGTGATCAATGATTCTCATCATTGCTGTTTCTATCTCTCTCTCCCTTCCTCTCTGAAATCAATAATAAATAAATAAGTAGGTAGGTAGATAGATAGATCGATAGATAAATAAATAGAAAGTGTGAAAGACAGAGAGGAAAGTTTCCAGTACTATGGCCGATCTAAGGGCTCCTACTTTGATTGGCACAGTGAGGGGTGGGACCAGAGGCTAGCAAGGTGGGTTCAGGGCTGCTGAGGTCAGGGTTATTTGGAGGATTAATGAGATAATACAGATGTAAGGCATCTGGGGTTGATAATAGGCACTCAATAAACATGAGTGCTTTCCACATCTTTTCCTTTTCTTTGTAATTTCAAGATTCGGTATTCTAATATTAAAAGACTATAAATCTAATGCAGTGGCAATTTTAAACAACGGAGTTCTTTTCCCATTTGCTCATTTCCAAATTAAACTTTCATTATCTTTGCCCAGTGATCATTGCCAACTGGCGTTTATCATGGACTTTGTAAGAAGGAGAGATGCTGAAGTTTCAAACTTTCAAATTTTCTCTGAGTGGCCTACATAGCATTAGTTGCTGTAAGCAAGAAACTCCTGGTAATAACCAGGACAGTTAAGCTGAACAATAACCAGAACTGAATTTTGAGTGAGAAGCTTTTGCCTTTCAGACCCCGACTCAAGGGGTGTGTCCGCACGTTGGTGGGGGAAGCCCAGGTTGTGGGCCTTGCTGAGCTTGGTCCTTGGGATCATGCTAGTCCATGCATAGAGTTGTTCAATTTATTCAGAAATAATAGGACCTCTGAGGAATGATTATTATTAACTAATCAAGTGAGATTTATCTACACACCAAAATACCTATTTATCATTTTACATGTAATGATATGCAATTACCAGTGAACTGCACCACAGTATTCCCTGCTAATAAATAGTCCTAATCACAGAACCAAGTTACCCATGAGCACTGTTTAACTGCAGGAGGAAGCTGGTATTACTAGGGCTCCTATTTAGTGGGTACACATTAGTAATTTATAGCTGGCACCCATTGCTCACCAGTTATTAATTAAATATTTCTGATGTCACCTGTTGGTGTTTCCATCAGCTTCCCCATTAAGGAAATATTCTGGTCTACCCAGTTTGTCCAGCTCATTGGAATCACTTTACTCTCACTGCTGTAGTACCTAAAGATCAATGCAAGTAATCAGAATTGGGAGATTAAAATTTCTCTTAATTTTAGTTTTTAAATGCCATTTTTTTCTTTGTAGTTGTTTCCTTAAATTTGATATTTTAAAATTGATTTTTGAGTGAAAGGGAAAGGGAGATAGGAACATCAATTATGAAAGAGAATCATTGATTGGCTGCCTCCTGCATGCCCCCTACTGGGGATCAAGCCCGCCACCCGGGCTTGTGCCCTTGACCCGAATTGAACCTGGTACCCTTTAGGCTGACACTTTATCCACTGAGCCAAACCGGATAGGGTCTGCAACCTGGCGTGTGACCTGACTGAGAATCTAACTGTGACCTGGTTCATAGGCCGACACTTAACCACTGAGAAACACCAGTCAGGCTTACATGTAATTTTAAGGAAACAGTCCGGTTTTGTCAACAGCACAGTGTGAGACTTTTAAAAGGGGAGGTTTCCCCAGATAAACAATAGGTATTTGATGTTAACTCCTGTTAATTTATAGACATTTAATTTCATGACACTTTCTGCCCTTCACTGTGAAATCGGGAATTATCTGATTTGGAACCTTGAAAACTCTTATGCCCTTGCTTTAATAACATGGATGGGAAATAGTGGCGGTGGTGGAGTGGACTCACCGTGTTCCTGCCTAAGCCTGGGGCATGAAGACAAGCTGCCAGAGATGGCTAGAGTTGCTAGAAGGAACTGGGATGTTATGTCATTGCGGGCACCTTTAGATTACCCTTTGCTGGCTTTAAAGAGTTCTTAATTTACAGTATAATTAGGTTCATGTCAGATTTCTTTCCCTCCTCTTTTCACACCCACAGGCAAAGAGTGCCCAGCAGAAGCACGATGGAACTGTGGGCCTGCTCACATACCCGGTGCTCCAAGCAGCCGATGTCCTGCTGTACAAGTAAGGAGCGGAGTCCGCCCCGGGCTTACACATATGCATGCGTGAAAGGGTGCTTTATCCTAATCCAGATATATTTGGTTCGCGGGGAAAGGGGACATAGGAAGGCTCAGACACGTAAATCAGGTTTCATCTATTCTCCGGTAACAGATGCTAAATTACAGATGAATGTTCCATAATTTAGTATATTTCCCAGGAGAACTAGACTCCTTTGCCTGTAAGTGTGGTAACAGCTTGGAGATGACAGTATGACAGACAGTATGCCCTGTGGCATGCCCCCAACACCCTGGTGCAGTTATGATGGAAACAGCCAGAGAGCAGCTGCTTAGCTTCACAGATAAGGATGTCCAGTATTACATGCTGGCTATTTAATTCTGATTTTAAAAATATATACGTATATATACATATATATATATACATATATATACATATATATAATGCATATATATGTGTGCATTATATATATGTAAATATATATATGGCTAATATGAAAGGTGTACCCTCAGGAGTTTGGGAGTTTGATCACTCACTATGATGTATGTGGCACAGAATGAAGGAAGGCCCTAGCTGGCAGCCAGAAGGCCCTGATTGGCCCTGATTTCTGGCCAGACATAGGAACCCTGCCTGTGCACGAATTTTGTGCACTAGGCCTCTAGGCCTCTAGAGTGTGTGTATATTCAGTATGTGAGTATGTGTATATATATATATATATATATATATATATATATATACTGCCTTTGTTGTATTGGCTTGAGTGCTGGGCTTCTGGTAGCATTTATTATTTATTATAAGTGACTTTTGGAAGTCCAGAACACTTTTCTGCAGGAATAGCAAGTGAGAGGCTAATGAAGATCCAATCATTTCAATTGTAAGGACTACTTGTTTCTACTTGTAAAAAAAAAACCAAAAAAAAAAAAAAAACCAACCTTAATTTCTTATCTATAAAATAGGAATAATGATCACCCTGCACAGGATTACTGAAAGATTAACATGAACTGTGGGCCAGGAAGTGCAGTGACTGGGAGCTCAATTATGACCAATGATGGGTATGTTTTTGACGATGACAGAAAAAGGCACTTCGCTTGGGCATGAGAGAAAGGGGAGGAAGGAATTAACGTGTGCTGAGCATTATTTGCCTGGCACCATACTATTTGCTGCACACACATTACCTATTCAGATTCTCTCCACAACAACAGCTCTGTAACACAGTTAAGCAGGATTCTCCCCATTTCACAGATAAAGAAATGACATTTGAGAAAGGTACCACCAACCTACTCAAATAGAAATGAGAGTGGTTACCTGGTTAATGACTTGCTCTCTTCCTCCAGCATTTGAACAGGGCAATATGGGGTTAGGGTAAGAAGATAGTGAAAGCAAAAGCTGGGGTGATGGGACAATGAGGAAACAGTCCTCCTAGAATGGTGAGTAAACGGAACCCAAAACAGTACAGAGAGGAAGACGATTGGTTGGAAATGTCCTGCTTGGTAATTCCAGGGAAGAGCTGAGTCATCGTAACTCTGATGAGGATCTGACTACTGCCATTGAGGACAGGGATAGTCAGTTCCTCCAACTGCATGGGAGACATCCAGTTCTTGAATTCTATCCTTTGTCTGTGAGGCCAGTCTGTCCCATATTTTTTTTTTTTTTTTTTTGAGGTCCTGGAGATTGCTGGCCAAACCTCATGTCAGCTGTCTGCTGATGTCTGCAGACCCACCCCCACTGCCAAAGCAATCACTTCTCCTCTTTCTCTTCCACCTCCTAGCTCTCAGGCAAGTGCCAACAGTGACCCAGAGTCCCCTGGAAGGCACCCTGGGAAATGTAGCTTTCAGGCTGCCAGCATTGAAAATCGAGAAACAGGATAGAAGGGAGAGCCGGGCCCTGAGATGTCGACAGACAATCCAGTCACCCTCCTAAAAGCAAGGGGAGGCTATTGCGCATTGTAAGGACAGAATGAAGTAACTCCATGTGCACTTTTAAAAGAGGACTGATCAAAATGCAGAGAATAAATTGGGGGACAAAAGCAGCTGGGAGGTGTCCATGAAGAGGCTCTTTTACTAGTCTGTTTGGACCATGATGGCAACAGTGAAGACAAAGAGAGTAGACAAACTTCCAAGATGCTAAGGGGGGGCAATCGATAAGACCTCGTAATGACTGGATGTGAATGAGGAGGGGTATCAGGGCAGACCCCAGGTTTCGGACTGTGCTCCCAGATCCATGGTGTTGCCATTCACGTAGGAAACCTGCGGGGAGCCCCCACCAGAAGGAGGTACAGCTTCATCCATGTTCTCCGTCTCCTGGAAGCCTTAACTCCCCGGACGGAAAACCCTGTCTGTCTGCCAGCACCCAGCACCAGGCCTTGCACATCGTAGGTCTTCCATGAGGAATTGCTACATTCGAGAGTCATCACCGCGCAGCCAACATGACCAGTGATGGTGAATTCATCTTTTAGGAAAGAGAAAACAGCCCCGCACTCCTGGCCCAGCTGGGCTGGTTAAAGGCAACGGCACGGAAAACTCACAAACAGCCAAAGAAGTAGGGGGGAAAAACCCACACCAAGAGAACAAATCTCTGCGAGCAGATATATGGAGGCCACGATTATTCATCCAGACACTAATTCTGCCAAAGGGTTGGGGTGGATCCCAAGTACACGTAGAGGCAAGGAGAAACTCGGCAGAAGAAAAATGGTTTAGTCACCAGAGAAGATCAGACGCATTATTATGTGACAGAAGTTATAACAATCAAAATTATGAAAGACTTTTGTTTTATGTTGTGTCTAAGAAAGCACACTCGGGGTAAGGGGAAGAAAAAAAAGGATGTGGAGAAAGAGAGAAGGCATTAATATGGATATCGTTAAGGAGGGTATAAATTTTAAAAGAGCAGCACTAAATTATTTGAAGTGAAAGGAAGGCTATGAGGAGAGAAGTTGCAAATGTGAAGAGAATAAGCCCCATAAGTGCGCGGAATCAAAGACAGGCTGAATTAATGTAAAGTGTAAACTCCACGGAGGAGAAGGAAGGGCCGAGATAAATTACAGGAGGTGAAAAGGAGCAGCAGGAGCAGGGGGAGGAAAGACTAGAAACAAACAAACCGAAATCAGATGAAGAAGCCAAGGGCAGCCAGCGGACCAGGTGAAAAAAATTAAAATTTTTAAAATCTTTTTTTTTTTTTTTTTTTTAAAGCAGAAATCTCACAGAATGGCAAGAAAAGAGGCGAGGGTCCGGCATGAGGCAGAGACGCATGCAGAGTCATTATGAAAACGAAATGTGTTTTCTGTTTAGTTTGGTTGCTTTGTGGATCTGGAACCATTTTGACATGTGGAAATATTCATTTCGATGTGCTTAAAGTGTATTGATTATGGTAATTGTTTTTTCTGTGTTAGTTGCAGTCCATTGTGATTTCCTATGGGCTACCGTAATTGCTTCTTAACCTGCCCTGTTGGCTAATTTGGCTTGGGAGAGGCAAGGTGACCTCTGCATGTCGGCCTCACTGTCATTACAAAGACCGGAGTAGCGACGGCCAGTCAGAGACGAGAAATGTGGAAGTGGGAGCGGGGGGTTAGGGTTAGGGAGAGGAGCGTGTGCAGGGTCGTGGGCACTGGAGCGTTTTTGTTTTTTCCCACACGCTGGGCCAGTGATGTTTGGCTCCAGGCCGTGTGGACAAGAGCAAGGGACGAAGCCCGAACCATCGTGTTGTAGAATTTCCTGAATTCATCGACAGACCTCAGAAGAAGAGAAACTACTTCCTGATCCATGGCCATGGTCCCTGCCTTTTGCCTTTCCCATTCATTGTTGCATCCCTGTTTCCCTGGGATTGAAGGAATGCTCAGGATCCCAATAGCATGCCATGTATATTTTGGAATGACCTAACCAGTGAGCGGTCAGTTTCAAATATGTTTGGTACCCATACCTGTCAGGATGGCTGCCAGGCGTGTGCCTGTCTTCGGGATCACATGTTGGTGTTGCTGTTCATGGAGTGAGGCAGCTGTGAACAAGGAAAGGGATCATGGTTTGCAGAGAGCCACCAGGTACCTTAGACCAAATATCAGGATTTCTTTCACCATTTTATCCTGCGTCGTGTCAGATATTAATGAGTATTTGTTATGTCAGTAGCTAGTGTTTACTGAGCTCTTGCTATCAAGTACGATGCTTGGTTATCGCATTTAATGAAACAACTGTATAAGGTAGGCACTGTTACGATCTCTATTTTACGGGGGAAACAGGTTTAGAAAAGGTAAGAAGCTTGGCTATGCCTAGTAGCTGGTGGAGCCGTGATTTAAATTCAGAAAGTCTGAGTTCCTGCTTTTATCCTCTCAGGTGACCACAAACTGACTGCATTATACACTTCATCGTGGTAGGAACTATAGGGACTGTATAGATTACAGTGGCTTCCTCTTTAGATAACTCGCTTTTTGAATGAGCATTTATTAAGCTCCTCGTGCATACCTGGCAACTCCATTGGAAATATATTGAAAAGCAAGACAGACAAACACTCAAAAAGCTTACTTTATAACTTGATTTTTAAAAGCTCATTTTATTTTTAGGGTCTCATCGTGGGAGAGTTAAGCCTCCCGGGGGTTAATCTAATATTCTAATGTCATTAAAACATTCTTCCTATATTCGTTAGGAAAAATTAAAAATCACGGCTGCTGTTTGATTTTATTACCATATTGGTGCATTTCCTGCAAATCAGTTTCTTAAGCTAACATTTCTTGTTTGCATACTACGTGCCAGGCACCAGACTGTGGGCTTTTGCGCACATTATTTTACTCCTCAAAGCACCCCTTGTGCAGGAACTATTACTAGTCAGTTTAAAAACAAAACAAACAAACAAAAAAACAGGCTGAAGGAGGTTAAATAAGTTGCCCAGGAACAGCCGGCTGGAGCGCAGGAATCTGACCGCAGGCTGCCTAACACCAGAGTCCCCACTCAACCACCGTGGCTCCTTCTTCATGCCAATACCTGTTTTCAAAAAAAAAAATTGGCATCCTGGCTTTTTTGTCTTATATTTTCCCACATCATTGAAATGTTTTCTGATGTTCGTTTTATTTTTATTTTTTGCCTGTGTGTGATTCTTTGTCTTCTGTCCTTTGCTATCTAGATTGTGTTTGCTCTGCTTTTTATCTATCCCAGTGATTGGAAGGTGTGCTTTCTGTTTCCCATTCTGGTAGCGGTTGTCTTTGAACTACACAAAGACCACCCAAACGAGAACACACAGACACTGTTCAGAGCTGGCTGCGGCAAGGAGTCCGCCACCCTCGCTTGTGATTCTCAGAGGCGAGAAGCAGGAGGCAGTGGAAAACTTTTATGGGAAAGGCAGGTTTCAGGTAGGCTTTCTGTTTTGAGGCTGTTGCCATGGGGAAGCTGAAGGCGGGCCGGGGAGAAGCGGGGCGTAGGATGGGATTCATTCCGGGAGCATTCAGACTTCCGCTGGTGGGTCCTCCGTTGGACAAAGCGAAGACAAAGAATTGGGACGTTGGCAGTCATGGCCCAAGTCTCGACCATTCCGGGCCAGTGGCCGCAGAGGTGGTGATTGGGCTTCCTGGTCTGGTTGCTCCATAGGTTGCGGGTCATGGTTTTCTGGTCATGTATTGTCTGGCCATTGCCCATTTATGTATCAGTTTCTCTCTTTCCAGGAATTCTATGTGGGGCCTTGTTTTCATCGTTCCAAGTACAAAATGATATCATGTGGTCCGATGGGTTGTTAATCGCACTGAGATCCTTAGTCTACACTCATTACTTCCTTTCAATTCTGTTAACTAACCTGGGGTTTTCAACAAAGGTGGTTGTTATAAACGTATTGATTTTAGATTGCCTTTTCTGCCTCAGATTGTGACCAAAATTTAGATTCTGTGTTTTAATGTTTACGGCCTGTCTTTATCCCCCAGCATTTCCGCTTCTGAGCTCTGGAGCTTTTCGGTTGGACTCAGAATTGTTTCCAGTCCTTTACATGCCTGAGAATGTCTCTCTGTTTAGCTTGCTTCCTCTGTAGCAGGGGATTAAGGGCAATACTAATACATTAAAAGTGCTTAGTGAAGTGTACAGCATGTAGGGGGTGTTTCCTAGCCACTAGCTACTTTATTATCATCATAATAATTATTATTATAGTGCACAATAAAAGGCAGCTTGGCTAGGTTTTTAATACCTTCTACTCTCAACCCTATAAACATTGTTTCATTGTTGTATTATTAACCTGATTTTTCTCATTTTTATTTTTATTTTTCTGGCTGTGGAATAGAGGACTTTTTTTTTTTCTTTAACTTTATTATTCAGTGTGTTTTTTGTTGGGTTTTTTTTTTGGGGGGGGGTTGTGTTGCAGTGTGAGTCTCTGGTGTTTTTCCTGAAACTTGTGGAGCCCATTCAATATGCATACTCGGTTTTGCTTGCTTCCTTGTTTCGAATCGAGTGCAGTTCCCTCCAGGTTTAAGGTTGTGGCCTCAGTTCAGATGGTCCTGGTGCCTTCCTCCGGAGGACCCTGAGCATAGACCAGAGGATGGTCCTCCAGCCCATCACCAGCTGGTCCCGTTTCTCCTTTTCCTCCCGCTCTGAGTTCTTGAGGAGCTTCGCGTTCCTCACCCAGGCCTCCGATAACAACCTGTCCTTAGACTCTGCTCCTTCCTGTTCCTGGTTCTATGGTTATGTGTTGGCTTTTCTTTATTTCATTATTTCACTTTCTCTCCATTTTATTGTTTTCTCTCGACGATGCTGTCCTCCTTTTGTGACTTCTTGCTCTTGTCCTAAAACAACCTTGTCTTTTGGAATCCTATTGAGGTTACCAAGCAGTTTTCTTTGAAAAAAACAAACAAAAACGATCTAACACTTCACTCGTACATATGGGATTAAAGTAATTACAAATATGGTAATTTGCATTTCACCTCTTTATTTTTTAATAAAATAAAGTCTTACAGATAAGATCCAGGTCTTCTTTCCTCAAGCCCCTTCTTTCCCTCCTTATCTGGAGGCAGCTACAATCATAAATTTGTGGAGGGACTTCCAATATGTTTTTTAAAACATGTGTATTGGGTTCAGAGAGGGAGAGGGAAAGAGAGATAGAAACATCAATGATGAGAGAGAATCATTGATCGGCTGCCTCCTGCACGCCCCACCCTTGGGATGGAGCCTGCAACTGAGGCATGTGCCCTGACCGGGAATTGAACCATGATCTCCTGGTTCCTAGGTTGGTGCTCAACCACTGAGCCACACCGGCTGGGCCAAATACCGTATTTTCTGGCGTATAAGACGATCCCCTAATTTTACAGTTAAAACATAGGTTTAGGCCTATATTCGCTGTATAATTAATATTGACATACAATAGTATGTTATATTCCAGGTTACACAACCCAGTGATTAGACATTTATATAACTTACAAAGTGGTCACTCCAGTAAGTCTAGTAATCAGGGGATGTGTCAAAGAGAAGTCTGTATAATGGACCACTTCCGAGGCAACACCAGTTCTTTTTTTAATAGACCGCCTCTCTGACTGGCTAATCTGAGCAGGCTTTTTACTTTAGAACACAGTAATCGTCTTATACGCCGGAAAATACGGTATTTTTTTTTTAACATATATGTATTGGTGCATAGAATTTTCACATGTGCTTTTAAGATTTACATAAATGTCATTGCTGTCTACGTCTTCTGCAACTTGCTTTTTCCATTCAACATTGTTTTTGAGACCCATCTACATTGTACTGATAGATTTTGATTTTATTCATTCATTTTAAGTTCCCTGCGGCATATTAATTGTCCCGTGATGGTTGCAATGTACTGGAGAACAAAAGAGCATGTATTCCTAAATGATTGGAGTCACTCCCTGTGTGGCAGGAGGAAAACTCTTCGCCTGCAGAGCCGTCTGCCATGTTTGATCTGAGGCGTGGGGTGGAGTGTCTTTCAAGTGTGAGCACAAGCTCTGAAGTAAGATGCATCTGGTCCAGGCCAGGATAATGTGTGCTGGCTGGCTGAGGGACCGGAGGGGATTTACAATACAATTATGCTTAGAGCCTGTGCTGTTTAAGGTCCCATCCCTCCCTCCCAGTGAGATCCTGTCCCGCTGCTGTGGTTGACGGCTGTGTTCCTCCGCTGTGGAAAGGAGAGAACTCGAGTGGCCTGACGCCTCTTTGGCGTTTGTCTGGTGCACAGAGGCAGATGCAGGTCACGGCATCCCCTCTGAGGTTGGTGAGCGGTTGGTGACCACAGTGAAACAGGCACAGGAAGTGAAGCTGCTTGCAGTATCATTTCCATATAAGCAAGCGCCCTGCAGAGTTCTCTTGTCTGTCTTCCATTGAAGGTCCACACACGTTCCTGTCGGGGAGGATCAAGTCCAGCACATGGAGCTAGTGCAGGATCTAGCACGAGGGTTTAACAAGAAGTATGGGGAGTTCTTCCCAGTGCCCAAGTCCATTCTAAGTAAGTAGCAAATGTGTGGTTGATACATTGGGGCTGTTCATAATCCTTTCATATTTAAAATTTTTTTTTTATTTTTCAATTAATATTGACATACAATAGTATGTTATATTCCAGGTTACACAACCCAGTGATTAGACATTTATATAACTTACAAAGTGGTCACTCCAGTAAGTCTAGTAATCAGGGGATGTGTCAAAGAGAAGTCTGTATAATGGACCAAAACTTAGAACTTTCTTGAAACTAAACCTGGCTTCTTCGTGGACAGGCTTCAGGATTTATAAATAGAATCCCCATCTTTTTCTGTCATGTAGGACTAGTAGACCTCATTGAATAATTGAATGAAATAACCAAAAAAGCTTGAAAAGTAAGGAGACTAAAACTAAAAATAATAATTTTAAGTATAAAGTATTATATAACTTACCACACACACACACACACACACACACACACACACCCTCATTTGGTAAATCAGGTAGCTTTCCCTCTGTTTCCACTAAGGCCTGGCAGGGCTAACTTTGTGTTCAAGTCCTGTATCTAATCAGTGGCAAACCTGGGCCCTATATTGAGTTCTGCTTCCAAACCAGTTACCTTCGCCTCCCTATTTCCAATAAAACAAAAGTTGTGAGATTGAGAACTGCTGGGTCATAATGTAGGTAAAACAAGAGGGTGTTGGTTTGGGGACATGGTTCAATTCCTGGTCAGGACACATGCCTTCTTGAATGCACAACTGAGGTGGCATGTACAGTCCACCTACTGAGTCTGAGGCCTCGGCTGCAACTGGCCAGGCTGTGCTAGTCTGGACTCTCCTTGAGGAAAGAAGCTGCACACCTCTATCAACATACTTATAGCCGTGCACACCTGTGGCAAGAGCACAAATCACGAAACCTAAGCTCTGTCCATCTTTATTAAACTGACAGCATGTTAAAGGAGCATGCCACATACCCAGTATCAATCTAGAAACCTAAGTTGGGTATAAATGGCTAAGTTATTCCCAAGATCAATTCAGGGCACCCCACACACCCAAACCAACCTTCTTTGAGTAATAACATTTTAATCTTTTGGCCTATTGTTATTTTACCGATTTCAACTTTATATGCTTCTGTAATAGCCATAAAACAGGCACTTATTACTAACACTGGTCTATGAAGTACAGCTTAACATCTTGATTCTATCAGAGTAATAAACAAGCTTCTCGTGTGTGTGTGTGTGTGTGTGTGTGTGTGTGTGTGTGTGTTCATATATACTTTTATAATCATGGGTAAGTAATTGGAAGGATTGACACAGATGGTTAAAGTTGGCTTGGGGACAGGAAGGGCAGTGATTATGGGTAGGGGTGATTAGCCAGTAGAGAAGCACAGAGAGGAAGAGAGAGGGAGAGGAAAGAGACAATCCTTTTTTTTTTTTTTTTAATGGTGCACACAGCAAACACAGTGTGATTGCTACAATTTTGTTTCTATAGTACATTTTTATGTGAACATGTGCATCCAAAATGCATAACGATATGATCAACAAAACGTTACATATTTGTTGGATGTTTACTGTCATGCTTATGAAATTCTTGAATTTTGCACAGTGAGAATTTAGCATTTATATAATCAGATAGAAATAATAGCTATTTGGTGTTCTTGGATTTTTAAAGATCTAGATTGACACTGACACTTGTGATGATTTTTTTCTTAACGTTGTCATTGTTTTGTTCTCTGTTGTTTTGTTTGGGATGTGTGTGTTGTGTTTTTACCTAAGCATCGATGAAGAAGGTAAAATCTCTCCGTGATCCTTCTGCCAAAATGTCGAAATCAGACCCGGACAGACTGGCCACCGTCAGGATAACAGACAGCCCGGAGGAGATTGTGCAGAAGTTCCGCAAGGCGGTGACGGACTTCACCTCGGAGGTCACGTACGACCCGGCCCGCCGTGAGGGCGTCTCCAACCTGGTGGCCATCCACTCGGCAGTGACGGGCCTTCCCGTGGAGGAAGTGGTCCGCCAGAGCGCCGGCCTGGACACGGCCCGCTACAAGCTGCTGGTGGCAGATGCTGTGATTGAGAAACTCGCTCCGATTAAGAGTGAAATTGAAAAGCTAAAGATGGACAAGGACCACTTAGAGAAGGTTTTAGAAGCGGGGTCAGCCAGAGCCAAGGAATTAGCATATCCCGTGTGCCAGGAGGTGAATAGGCTGGTGGGCTTTCTGTAGGAAGTTTCAACTGATTGCAAAAAGGCTCCTCTGGCTTGTGGTCTTTGCACTCCAAGAAAGGTAGCTTTCCTTCTGGACAAGCAGGAAGTTGTAGTCTGGGAATATTTAATTCGGTATAATTGATATTGGCTTCATTTGAAGAGTGTTACGTGCCTGCAGATAGAGCAGTATACTAGATCCCATCAGCAAAATGCCGTGGTCAGGAAAGAAAAAGGCGAAGAAGGCAGAGCTTTCTGAGTCCTCAGTATTTGAGGCGCACACTCCCCAGCCTGGTTTATATACACACACGTGACTGAGGTGACTGGTCATTTGGCAGAAGGGGGTATCATCTGTGTCTTCCTCAAGTGGGCACTCTCATAGACGGTCACTTGATCTGTCCCAACCCTTCTACAGGAACAGGAAGAGGTCTCAGACTTACTGGTACAATCCTGGGGATGCCATTGGGACCAACTTGTGTTCAGATCTCATAAAAATGAGTTGATTAATATAGTTCATTTGTCACTGAGATGGTGCCTGCTCTAAAGCATTTAAGCTGATTACCTTGTTTCCCGAGAGATTATACTGATGGTTTTGGCAAGTTTTTTTTTGTGTGTGTGTGTGTGTTTGTTTGTTTTTAATTCAGATATGCATATAATCCTTTAAAAAGGCTGCATTATTTCAACTTGATATATTTATTGTTCAAGAACCCGGGCCCTAGATGATGTTCCTAATAGGTACTCCCAACCCACTGTGAAATATAGGAGAGGAATTGCCATTTTACCTGGAGGAAAGGGAGGCTTGGAGGACACAGTTAATTTAGACAGTATCTCTCGGGAAGTGAGAGGCAAATCCAAGATGAAAACCTGTGCTCCTTACAAGAGCCTCCACCCTTTGGAAGGGGGTCCTAGAAATGTAAGACCTGAACTACTGAGACCGTTTCCATCAGTAACTCAACCACTGCCGGTTAGGTCACATTTGCTCCTCGTAGTCCCGACGCAGGTCCCACGTTCTGTCTCCTGTACTTCTTGCAGAGGCACTTCCGGTAGACTCTGCCAGACTACAACAGTGGGGAGGCCGGAGCAGTGTGAGTGGAAACCCCCCGTCTCCTCTACCTCGTCTCTCTAAGTCACATGTGTCAAACACAAGGCCCGCGGGCCAAATCGTCCCGCCAGGCCTTGCAATGTGGCCCGCACCGCGCTATCATCACTGCACTCCGCTGCGTTTCCATCACAATGACAGTTTATGACTGTTCAGTAAACCATTCAGCCCGCGATTTAGGCTGGATTTTAGATTTTGGCCCCTTCTCTGATTGATTTCGACACCCCTACTCTAAGTAATAACAAGTCACTCTGAAACCTGCCCTCCCATTTCCCACACCTGGAAATGGGAAGGGTAATCCCGACTTGCCAGGGTCTGTTAACAAGATTGATTTTGTACCAGAAATTGCTTATCATTTTTTGCCGATGGGTAGAATGACGGTCATTTATACTCAAAAGACTGGTATGTTGGGCAAATAATTTTTACTCATGTTTCTTAAGAGAGGGCAGTAAAAAGGCCCTTGTATCAACAGATATAAATCCACAGAACACCGCATCCCAGAATCCAAAGCAAAAGACCCTTTGGTGGATCCTTGCATGGAATGGGGTATCAATAGTCCTGGAGGAGCCTCTTTGGGCATATTTCTTCCGAGGCTGTTTTATTTTTCCTTTTAGATGAGCCCTATTGTGAATACTGGACAAAGACAGCATTAAAGGTAGATCTGTCAGACCAGTGTCTGTTTGTTTGCCTGTGTGTTTCTTTACCCCCTTGCAACACCTTTTTTTTTATATATATAATATATTTTATTGATTTTACACAGAGAGGAATTGAGAGGGACAGAGAGTGAGAAACATCGACCAGTTGCCTCCTGCACACCCCCCACAGGGGATGTGCCCGCAACCAAGGTACATGCCCTTGACCGGAATCGAACCTGGGACCTTTCAGTCTGTAGGCCGACGCTCTATCCACTGAGCCAAACCGGTCCTGGCTGCAACATCTTTTGTCCACAGAACTACAGGCACCCTGGAAGGACTCTCAGATGAGAGAAACCAGATGACGTGTGACGACTTCGAGAAACAAAACCCTGCACAGGTGAGGTCGGCTTGTGTGCATTCTGCTGTTGTTAGTCTTTGCCCAAAACCAGCCTGTCATGACTGAGACGTGCCCGATAATGTCGGGGTTGATTTGCTGGTTGGTTGGTTGATTTCTCAGAAACCTCTTGATGCACACCATGCAGATGCACATCATGAAACAGTAACTGATACCACTGAGCTCTCACTACATGTCAGCCATCACGCTAAACATCTTACGACTGTTTTTCCGAGTTACCCTGAGTGAATATGATTAAAAAGGGGTTGGGGGGGGACAGACAGGAAGTACCAGAAAGTCAAGACAATAATTATATTTTTATGACTGGTTATCGATTTTCTTCTCTCTCTCTATTCTAAACTCCTTTTTCTAAGGTCCCCGGAGCAGCAGCATGAATACCACTTGGGAACTCATTCAGAATGCACCTTCTCTGGCTCTACCCCACACTCACTGAATCAAAACTTTGGGGATACACGTAGCAATCTCTGTTTTAAATAAACCTCTTATTTATGTGTATTCTCTCGTTTCCTCCTAACCCAATAAAGAGATACTGATATATTACTAAGGATGAAACCGAGGCATGGGCAGGTGAGTAGGATGCCTAAGACAGTTCAGCCTCTGAGACGTAGAGTCAGGTCATCCAATCCAGAGCTCACTAGCCACAGCAGCTGCTGCACTGTCTTCTAGTGTGTTTGGTGTAGTGTGCTCTAAGGTGCTCTGTCCAATACAGTACGTGCCCATTTTAATTCAAATTGTGACTAAATAAATAATTCACACCCACAGCAGCAATTTCAAGGGCCCAGTATCCTCAGTGGCTGATGGGTAGTGCAGCATCATCCTCACCTGGGAACTTATTAGATATGCAAATCCACAGGCAACCCCCGCACCCTCTTTCTCTCTCCCCCCCCCCCCCCCCAACCCACCAGACTCACTGCATGGCAATTTCTGGGGTGGCTCAGCAATCCGTTAGCCTGTCAGCTATCAGATGCACATTAGTGTTTGAGAACCACTGTACTGGGGGATAAAAAGAGAATAAAACCTAGCCTCTCTCAAGGAGTTTAGAATAAAGGAAGAGAAGAAAAGCAAGAACCAGTCATAAAAACATAATTATTGTCTTTCTATTTGCTGTCCTCTCCCCACTTTTTAAAAAATCATATTCACTCAATGTAGCTTTGACTGTTTTTGTTTATATATGATTATTATTTATAGGCAGTTTAAAATTTTAGGTCATTTAGGCCTCTGGAAATCCTAAAAAGGGAAATGACTGAACTTGCATTTGTAAATGGAGCAAGCAGAGATTTGATCATCAATAGCAGAGTTAACGAGGATCTCCTGGAGCCAGGAGAGATGAATAAGAAGAGGGAGTTCTTTTACACAGGGGGTAGTAAAATTATAGTACTTATTACCCTGTAAAGGGTTATATGACCTAGAAATAAATACAGCCAAGCCTGGATTAAATTTATGAGTGAGACAGTCACAAAATTGCATTAAGCACAAGTTAGGAACGTTCAAATTATGTCTGAAAGTAGCTGACGTTGTTGATCTAGGAACTACCACTTTTGCTGTCACCACCCTCATTCTCATAATCTTCCGTGTTCAGAACTCTAGGCTAGACCAGAAGAGTCCAGTGTGGCCCCCAACAGTTCCATCTTTCATAACTGTCTAATCTCTCCCTAACTTAACATATTAAGTGTTTGGTAAATCTTAACTTTATTTCTTCTTCACAGGTCTGTGTAAAGCATAAGAATTGCTATCCCCATTTTACCCTGTTTCCCCAAAAATAAGACAGTGTCTTATATTAATTTTTGCTCCCAAAGATGTGCTAGGTCTTATTTTCAGGGGATGTCTTATTTTTCCATGAAGAAGAATACGGTACACATTTATTGTTAAATGAAAATAAAGGAAATTTATTACCTGTATACGGTACGGTAGTACGGTAGTTGTCAACACAAACCAGACAAACTGTGAATCCTACAGTATCAAGAATTTACTCATTTATTCAATGACAATCATGTCATCATCTTCTGGAACATCATCATAACAATCCAATTCCTGAATTTCCTGGTGAATTTCTTGTGACTCCATTTCTTTCAGAATCAGTGGACCAAATCTCTCATGTTTAGCAATAGCACTGTCTTTAAATGAGTACTTCTTGTCAAGGTAGCCTGCTGGCAGTGCATTTGCAATGCAACTGTCAGTGATTTTCTCCCATGAATTCTTCACCCAAGTCACAACTTCTTGCAGTTTAGGTTTCACAAAGTTTCTGAGACAGAGCCTAGAGGGGGCCTTATTTTCGGGGGAATGTCTTATATTTCACTCAAAAGGAAACCTGTAAATAGGTCTTATTTTCAGAGGATGTCTTATTTTCGGGGAAACACGGTACTATGGTGGGCTGGAAAGGAGTCTGCCTGAGAATAGAGACTCTTGTACTGTGTGTTTTGTAAAAACCTGTACAAGCTTCAGATTTAATGGGCAATAAAGATAGAGAAAATAAGAGAGGCAATGGATGCCATTCTTTAAAGAATTTGTTGTAATTTATATTTAAAGCCAGTGTGCCATTTATCTTATTCACAAGAGACAACCCAGATCATTGAAATCATCCAAAATTTTAATAAAATATTATTACTACTGCATGCTGTGAACTGATATTATGTCTTTGGCATCGGAGCTAAACACTTTGGATGGTGCTAACATATAAAAGCATTAGCACATCCCAAACTAGCCAGACTTGAGACTTATAAACTCTAGTCTTTGTGATAATGAAGAAGTAGCAGTCAGTATGGCCCACCTTCCCCAGAGCTGTGTGAACCTCTAAGAAGGGGTTTAATTTCTCCGCCCACTGTTAGAAACACAGTCATTTTGTATGTCTGCTATTGGCTGCTAGAAACGATTTTAGCTCTGGCTTATATGTTGTTGTTGTTTTAAATCTTGCAATATCTTTAAACTGCCTTCCCGTTTGGTAAAACACAACCACTTTATTCCCTTCTTTTTCTCCTTTATCCCTTTAAGGAGACTTCATCCATCTTCTATCCCAAAATACTGTCAGTCAGGATTTCTATTCCAAATAATTTGGAGTCAAAAGCGTTCAACAGTTTGGAGGCAAAGTGAGCTTTTTATTGGGTTTTTATTGAGAGTAAATTGAACTGTGTGGGCAGGCGAGAGAGGGGTTCCTCTGTGAGGCCCAGCATGCCCCTCCGCTGCACCCCAGCAAGGACTCGTGTTACAAGAATTACATCACTAGGATCAGCTTATATTGGCTGACCAGGCCCAACAGACTCCTGGGCGCAGCCAGGCAGGTTAACTCCTTCTTGATCTTCATGAACCTTCCACAAGAGAGCTTACGTGGCCCCCAACAGTTTTGTTTTTCATAACTTTCCAATCTCTTCCTGATTTAACATATAAAGTCTTTGGTAAATTCTAACCATATTTCTTCTTCACAAACCTGTCTGAAGCGTAAGAATTTTATCCCCATTTTACAGATAAGTTTTCCCTGAGTACTTTGGCACCAGCTAATCTGTTATTCAACTTGAATTTGCACCATATAGGTACGTGTTGGGGATTTCATTATTGTTTTTGTTTTATACATTACTCATAGTCTGGAGCAAAGACTGGCGCAGAGTAGATGCTAAATAAATGCTTATTGGTTGAAAACCACCCGAGAAGAGAGAGAGTTTGGGGATTGCAAATTCATACGGCATCACGAGACAGATAACTTTGTAATTTTATGAAACAATAAATATCATTTCAGTGCTTACTGTGTGCTGGGTGCTGCTGTATGCACTGGGGATACCATGGTGAAAAAATAGACAAAAATGCCTGGCCTCTTGGAGCTAACATTGTAGTAGAAAGAGAGAGACAATTAAAACAACATAGAAATTAAATGGTTGGTCACCAGGTAATAAAAGCTACGTCCCAATACAAAGAACGTGGGGATGGAGTGTGTTAGGGACTGACTTGTGCTTCCACCCCAAAATTCATATGTGGAAGCCTCCACCTCCA